AGTATGGTGTCATTATGCATCAATGGATAACCCATCCAGATAATTTTCAATCAAAATTTTTGTCCAAAATAGGAATACGTTTCCATACCGAATGATTACATTTAACCAAACAGGTCAGGCTTTCGTTGTCTAAAGTTTGAAATATTCCCAAGTGTTCCAAATTAGGTCATTTATAACGATAAACGTAGTTTTTAATTTAATGGAAACGTGATATGTTATCATTTTTAGTTATTGAAGTGCTCAATTGCTGGGATTGAAAAACATACTTCAAACGACATAGAAACATTTGTGTCACAAATCAAAAATATTCTAACCATTCGTAAATATTATTGGTTCTGTTCGAATGTGTGTGGGCATAGCGAAAATATTTTATTACCCACATCTTTATGAAGTGAAGACTCAATTTATTTCCACAAGGAAATTTGAATTGAAATAAATGGATGATTAGGTTTATGAGCTATCATAAGAAACAGGCGTATTCCGGCATCAGGACTTGCGAGAGTTTTTCTCAGGATTCCCGTGACACGGTCTTGATAATAGGGATTACGGTCCATGTTGACTTTCAAAATCCCTATTTTCTCAAACTGAAAAAGAAAAATCTCGTGGTAAAGGCCTTGCTATTTTAGGGTTATGTTTCTCTGAGCAATTTCGTATTTCTCTTGGAGTAATGGAACTGATTTCTCGCGAGCGGCCATTAAAAGAATCCCCCGTCTTTGGAATCCAGCCAATCAGAATGAAGAAAAAATTAAGTGCATTCTAATGCCACATTTGGCGCTAGATCCGGTGTTTGTTAGCAAGGATATACGTGGGTATGGATTGTACAAGCAATATTGAACAGAGACATCAATTTTATTATGGATGTTCATCAGCTCCACCATATCAGCATCCACAGATAAATACAAATTATTTATCTGCCGGCGAAGATATCGCAAATGATGAGGATTTCACACGTTGCTCCCTATTTCAAAGCTGCTAATAAAAACGGGGACGGTACCATTATCTAAATTTTCCTCGCGAAAGGATTTCATGGCGCTGTTGATCACGCAGGCGGAAAGTTTACAGATATAAATGGACTCAACATGAGCCGAAATGCCGGAATCAAAATAGATTGACAAAACATGCCCTCTTTTATTCCCTTTTTAACCACGTTAGACCACGCGTTCTTGTTGGCTGGTATTATATCCTCCTCAGGCTGAAGTATCCTCTCCCTTCATCGTACTGGTAACACATACAGCACATTGCCTATAAATCGTCAACCATTTATCGTCCTAATTGACGAAGTACATATGGAACTAGTTTTATTGTAGATTTACGTGAATATTGCAATAAAAATGGAAGGCGGAATTAATAGTGTTTTTATCCGGAGGAAAATCGATGCTGGACAACTGTTAAAGCGTCGTTATATATTAAGAGGAAATTTATTGCGGATTTGCTAGGATTTGCTTTGTTATAGAACAGACATATTTATCGTTTGTCGATTGGGAAGATGGTTATTCTCTGAATGCTGCGTCATAAATAACAACCAAATAACGCTGCTATCGAAATTGGCGAGATAATTTTGACGATGGTGAATGCTGAGTGGGGTGATCCTTTCTGACTGAATGTATGTGTATTTCTCTGTCAATGTCTGTCCGAAAGGTAACAGATTAATATCAGTACTTTGGCCACATGGCCTATTGTACAACTACACGTCAGAATACGATTTGGTCATGTGTGGGACCTGGTATTATATACATTTACTAGACATAAGGCAACAGATTTATTAACGTTCATATTTGTACAATTTAACAAATTTATCATACTTTGAGTAGAAATAATAAAATTGTTTGGCAAAAACCTACTCCTTAGAGATGAATACTTACTACAAACAAATAATACATGAAGCTCATCTTCCTTACCACGGTAACAATGAGGAAAAATTGTATTTTACATTTTCAAAGTACCAATATGTCAGAATGAATAATGCCCATTCATACAAAAACCCGTCAGAGAGAGTGCTATTAAAGTTTTCTAATAAATTAATGTATCACGAAATTGTAAAAAGCAAAGTCTTAGTGTGATGACAATATCGCAGTAATTATGTTTATCTAACAAGCAAATAAAAGCGGACTCAACGACATTTAAGTCTTTGGCGTTCGGTATAAACCCACCATTAGCTTCAGAGTTGCCATCACTTGTAAACGGAAGTTACGCTTGTCCGATAGTTCGCCTTGGGCGTCCCTCGCCAGAACGACCACAACGAGGAGGTTTGGTCCGGAAAGGCCGTAGGCATAGACTTTACACCCGGAACTCTTCACAACCTCAATGTTGCTATCACAATATTTGAAGGGAGAAACTCGTGGCAATTATTCTGTGTACAAACCAGCACATAAATATATTTAATAGAAAGTCCGTTCATTATTGTAAGTACTGGCGTTGTCACTGTAATTTGTTCAAATTAGAAAACGTCAGTGCTTGTTAAAATACAATTCACACAAAAAATAATGGCAGGTCATAAAAGTATTATATTGAAGTAAGATATGTAAACAAAGTAAGTTTGTCAGATATAATTTGGGTCACCACGGACAAATTTCAGACACAGTTTGTCATTTGATCAAAGTAACTGATAATTTGATAACACAAAAAGTAAATCTTTATTCAAGATAATGATGACGTTAAAATCTGCATTTTCATCAAAGCAAAAGGTCACTGTAGTTAGTGTGTTTCTATACATTGGTTAATGGAATTAATGTACCTGAATTAATGCAACTGCATGAACGAAGAAATGGTGGAATAATTTGTTCACCTGATATCTGATATCGTGACGAAGAGTCTGTAAAATCGTTTGCATAATAACTATAACCATAAACAATAATCATAAGTAATATACGGTTCCGACTGTCCGACTGACCCGGGTTCGATTCCCCACATGGGTAAAATGTGTGAAGCCCATTTCTGGTGTTCCCCGCCGTGATATTGCTGGATTATTGCTAAAAGTGGCGTAAAACCATACTTACTCACTCACTCAATATGAATTAGTAATGATGCCCGCCATCTCCAACTAATGCAGTGAAACAATAATATAATTTAGTTAAACAACTAATACTACCTTTTCCTAATATTGTTACTGTAAGTGAGTGAGTTTACGCCGCTGTAAACGGTATTTCTAATACATAACGGCGTTACAGCTTGTGATACGAATGGAAAAACCGAATCGGTTTCATATTTCAAGAAATTAAATTATATTTCTGCAAACATGTTATGATGTCACATGTATCAACACATGTAATAATATTTCACTAATTAACCTGATCGCATATTCCTGCAACATATAACAGCCGTTTTTCCCAGTTCAATTTTCCGAGCCAGTATTCTATTTCCCTGACAAATTAATTTCAGAAACTCGATCAATCACCGCGTATTGCTAAGAAAGAAAAGGAATCGCGGTTATCAACAAAAATACATTAGCTGATTACAAGCGTCAAGTTGATAGAGAGAAAATCCAATCTGTTGTGATTCGGCCTGGGATTTCCACCCAGTTGGGCTCCACTCATATGTAGGCTGTCATCTGAGGTTGCAACAGTTTGGAAAACACAGATTGTGATTAGTTGTTAGGGTATTACAAGCAATGACCGTTGACAGAAACAGGAAAATAGCATTTGATAATGCCACACGCTCGAGGGTACAGCCTTTATTTGCACGCACTCATATCTGGGATTAATCACTGAAATGCTGTTCACGCAGGGTTTTCGCTATTTGATAGAGAAAATATTTAGAAAGCATATTACTTTAGGATATTGAAAAATCTTTTGACTACAGCTGTTGAAGAGATGAGAAAGGAAGATTAAAACCTGGCATAATGAGGCTTGTTAAAATTGTACTTGAAAATTGATATGTGGCAATCTGATACATCTCCTAATTAATTCCTGATACCTGATGACGAATTTATCATTGGTGGTGGTTGTCGTTACTGTTGAAATAATTAGCAATTTCCATGTCTTCATAAATGAGAAGAAAATAGATAGTTTGATTAAGGCTATTATTCATAAAGTGAGCGTGAGTGAGCTTTTTTACGTCGCTTTTAGAAACATTCCAGCAATATCACGGCGGGGAACACCAGAAAATGGCTTCACGCATTGTGCCCATGCGGGGAATCGAACCCGGCTCTTCGGCGTGACGAGCGACCGTTTTAACCACAAGGCTATCCCAACTGCCCTTATTCATACACAGCGGTGCGTGAGTGAGTATGGCTCAGCCCCGCCTTTAGCAATATTCCAGCAAACACGGTAGGGGACACGAGAATTGGGCTTTACAAATAGTGCCCATGTGATGAATTGAACACAGGTCTTTGGAGAGAAATGTTGTAACCACTAGGCTACCCCACCGCACTTACACAGTACACTACGTCTAGGACGAACGCGCTTATAATGAAATAACGCTTAAAAGGAGCTGTTCCTTTGGTCCCAGCCACTTCATATCTATTTTCGTCGAAATGCGTTAGTGATAATATGGAAACAATTAACAACTTTTGATTTGACAGTTACCGTAAGATCGTGTGGCATCCTCATCTGTCAATGCATTTGATGAAAAGCTTACATTCACACTATTGGATCTCATTTCAATGAAATACATGGAGCTGAAGTCACATGACCGGCACGCGGAAGTGTTGTTTAATGGATTAAGGTGTGAAGAGCAATTAAATAGCAATTACGATTTTTATTGAATACGACTGCAGTAACCCACTGCTACCTGTCAGCGTTACATAATAAGGATCGGGGTTAATCGTTTTGGTTGTAAGGATCGGTTGCAATTAATTACTCTTAATGGATTTCATCATATACAGTTTAATGACATGTAATAGACTACGGGCCTATATAAACCTGAACAGATCCGTTTCGGTCATTCTCGTCTTCTGCTGTAAGATCTGCTCATCTCCCACTTGCATCATGTGTTTCCTCGCGGTTACGCTCCTTTCCATCATTGCTCACTTGACCGCCGGTCAAGGATGGGGTGGATCTAACATGGGGGCTTCATCTGGATGGAGTGGGTCCTCGAATTCCCAAACTACTAATGCCGGTTTTGGTAATAGTGGATGGGGAGCTGGCACCGGAGCTGGATTTGGGACATCAGGATTTGGCACCGGTGGCAGTGTTGGTACAGCAGGATTTGGCACCGGTGGAGGTGTTGGCAGTGCAGGATTTGGCAGACCAGGATTTGGCGCCGGCGGAGGCGTTGGGACACCAGGATTTGGCGCCGGCGGCAGTGTTGGTACAGCAGGATTTGGCACCGGTGGAGGTGTTGGCAGTGCAGGATTTGGCACACCAGGATTTGGCGCCGGCGGAGGCGTTGGGACACCAGGATTTGGCACACCAGGATTTGGCGCCGGCGGTGGCGTTGGCACACCAGGATTTGGCGCCGGTGGTGGCTTTGGGACACCAGGATTTGGCATCGGTGGTGGTCACATCGGAACTGGAGGTCTTGGCTGGGGCAGAGGTGGCTTTGGAAGACTCAACAGCTTTGTCAACCCCATGCTCAACACAACTATAACCTGCACCTTTTCAAACACTGGCATCACTGGCTCCATTACCCTGAAGAGGCAGCAGAACTGGGGAGGATGGGGAATGGGATGGGGACAAACATCAGGCAGAAATATCGGTGGATCACTCGTCATCAGAACATCAACCGTTTCCGGAACCTACAACCTTGTTTTCACTGAGCGATCCCGTGACGGAACCAAAACTTCCGACAGTCTTGGCCCAGTAATCGGGGCCACCCAGTGGGGCCAGTCCAGTGGATGGGGAGGCCAGTCCAGTGGATGGGGAGGACACGGATTGAGAAACCTGTGGAGCAACCCTTGGTCCAACACGTTCGGCACTGCCAGTTCCAACACACAGGGAGTCGCCACAACCGTCACCCTTTCAACCAACCAAGAAACCGTCGTCGACCTTGCATCTGCTAACTTACCCTTCAGGGACCTTAATCTTTACGGAGGGCGTGGTCTTGGACTGTGTGCCACTCTGACCACTGACACCAATGGCCGTACTGTCTGCGCAGATCCAATCCTTGCCTGCTGCACACTGGGCTTTGACAACCAGGACGCTGTGACGCCTGCAGCTCCCTAAGGACCAAGAATAACCCTCATGAACATTCACAGTCGGAACAAGAACTCGTTAACAGTGACACCTACCTCTACTTTCATGCATTTATGCAGCTCCGTCAATGTCTCTGTCAATGTTTGAAACTATTTGTCTGACAAGAAAAAGGTTTCCTTAACTTCAAGAACTAACAGTGTGTGCACTTCAAATTTTCTATTTCATTTTGTGACCGTGAATGATTTAGCAACATATATGTGGTTCTGGTATACAGTAAATAAACTTCAAAAAGAAACAAATTGTCTTTTGTTAATACATTTGCTATTTGAAAACTGATCACGATCGGGTGCTTGAATACGACCCTGAATGAGGAACATCTGACAGGAACCAAGGTCACGATGGATATTGCAATTGGTTTAAAAAATCCAACTATAGTACTACTTAGCAACTGAATATCTAGCTCATCTTAATGTTTTACTTCATTTCACAAGCATGCTTTGAAGAACTTTCGCTGCAACAAACAAAAACACAATTCATTCCATTAGCTCTCGGGAAATAGTATTTGAGGAAAACTACCGATCCAGGTCAGTAAGTAGCTATTGTTTGAGGATTAGATATGACATAAATGTTATTCATATACTCCAATGTACAGTTATACAATCGAACAGCCCCCACGGTTCATACCCTATAGGTTCACAAACGCTGTATTTGAAAAAAAGTAATAGACATTGGGTGCACTCGATAATGAACAGCCTGCAGTATAAAACATACTTCCGTGAAGTATTAATTATTCATTTCAGAGTTGTAGGGGACTTTTTAGACATTCGACAAGTCGACATTCTAAAATCAATATTCTTCCTTCCTCCAACAGAAACAGCGAAGGGCGAATATTGTTTGACCTATATTGTACAAGACGTTTATTTCAAATTCGATTACTTGGAACCTCAAATAGAAAGTCACAAAAGCAGCAAATGTCAAAAACAACGTCTATTGGATCACGCGTCTTTCACAAAATGGCAGAATGTTTGAAACATGGTAGTTCGGTCTGGTCTAACAATGTCTGTCGGAGATCCAAGATGCTCAATTATTCGAAGTGAATTTCGTGGTCACATGAAAAAGAGATAAATGTAATTCCAGTTGACTGAAAAGTATCACTCCTGTGAGACATATAAAATTAGAAATGTCATACTTTGACAGGAAACGAATTACTATTCTAGGTAAAGATTGCATCTGTCAAAAAGGACATAAGATCACACAGTAGTCGGGCGAGATAAGGCGCCTCGAGAGCATGGAGAGATTGACTATCTACTTAAATCATCACCTTGAAGTACGGCATGGCCTCAGGTTACGAAAACGGTGGGAGACGAAATGAGACAATAGCAAGACATATGCGTTGTGTTTCATCGTATAAGTATATACTCTTCACACATCTCATTTGAAATTTTATCATGACATCGGTATTATTTTATTATTGTTCAGAGTCTGTCGTCGTCTTTTCTACCTTCATAATAGCTAAACAACAGACCTCGTCCAAACAGATCATGCCCTATTCCAAATACGTGATCCATTAAAGGTTGCCCAAAGTGAGTGAGTTGATTCCAGCAATATCATTGCGGAGACACTTGAAACGTTGTAGCTACTGGCAATAGATCCCGGGCCGTCGGCTGTAACGAACGAGCGCTTTAAACACTAGGGTTTCCGATAGCCCCAGGTTGCAAAGAGAAAGATTTAGAGATTATTACACGAGCAAGTGTGCCATACGTCTTATACGAAACGAGTGTGAAATTTTGTATTTTGCACGAGTTTCGTATAAGCAACCATATGCCACACTTGCATAATTTCTTTATTATCCATTTTATTCATGTAGGTTTGTGCAGTAAAATACGGTAAGCAATTGTGACGGCCTTTTTCATTGACGTCACATTCAATTGTTTAATGACGTCACATACGACGAAAGACAGTAACAATGATTGCTAGGCAAAGGTGATTTGTGCACATATGCACATATTATATATATGACATTGGTTATGTTTCACCATATGGGTAATAAATGATGTATTAACGAAAGTATACTTCTAACAGTTTCAAACATACATGACGTACGTTTTTGTGAACTGTATAGTTAGACATGTCCCGATATATACTCAGCAGCAATAAAAACGTCAGTACGAATTCAAAATTTGATAGGCACTGTAATCAAATCATTACAGAAATGGAAATAATAAGCGGATCAAATTTTTTTGTGTGTACAATATCTTTACACATCAATGAATAACTCAGCACAAGTCCATTCAGACTCATGACTTCAGTATCTAGTGTGACCACCTCGAGCGGCAATAACTGCAGCACAGCGTCTATGCATGGAGTGCACCAATCGATTGACGAAGGCCATTGGCACCTGGAACCACACTCGGAGAAAGGCCTGGCGCAATAAATCGACTGTGTTCGGCCTTGGTATGACATTATTCAGTCTCCTCTGAATTTCATCCCAAAGATGTTCAACTGGGTTTAAATCAGGACTAAGGGCTGGCCACTGCATAATGTTGACACCGTTGTGCTATAGGAAGTCCCGTGTAGCTCTGGCAGTATGGGCCCGGGCATTATCATGCTGGAAAATGTTGTTCCGGTGACGTGCGAAATGTGGTATGACGATGTAGCGCACCGCTGTGATGCCGCCTCCTCTCCCTGGACCAAGGTTCTGGAACACCACAGGACCCACTCTCTGGTTCAGGCCTATTCCACCCCATACCATGATGCTTGCACCTCCCCATGAGTCTCTTTCCATAACACATTGGTCTGAGTAACGCTGGCCACGTCGTCGCCATATACTTGTTCTGTCATCTGCAGTTGATACGCAGTACCGACTCTCATCTGTGAACAGAACAGTTCTCCATTGCCTGTATCTCCAGTTTTGGTGTTGTAGGGCAAACTGTAGACGTTCACGCCGATGACGAGGGGAGAGGATAGGTCCACGGTAAGGTCTGCGGCAATGGAGGTTCCTGCTGTTAAGACGTCGGCGTACTGTATCAGTACTGATTGGTCTTCCGTGTGTTCCCACTGTCTCAAGTCAAAACACTGATTACACAAGTCTCGTTTCCTATTGACTGGGTTCCGTCCTATTGCGCAACTTAGTACAATAACCAGTCCAGAAGTTTGAGACCAATTCATTTAACTGGATACATAAATATTAATCAGTATTATTTGATACATCTAAGCTCTTGTATATTGCAACACTACGCTCCTTCTTATCCTTGCAAACACGTCGTGCAGCGTGCTCTGTCGTACAGCGAGCTCTGACAAACGGAAACCTGGAAATCGTGGAAATCTCAAAACGAGGCTCTGCCGCTAGAAACGTTTGGCGGTCTGGTACGGAATTGATATTATATTAATCACATTGTGCGTTACAGAACTATACTGAATAAGCTCAAGAAACGCATAACAGGTGTAACCAGGTGTGCCAGATGCATTGTGAATCATTTTACGACCTCATCAAAGCAGGGTCAGTCTGTGGCGTCTCAGTTGAGCTCATGCTGCCTACACCTCGCCATGAAATATAGAAATACGATGTTATAAAAGTTTAAAATTAAAATTCATTTGTAAATACCTTTTTCTTATGAAACAAGAAATTGGAATGCAGTGTAACCATAGTTGTTTGTGATGTCTATTTTCTCTTTCACACGAGAAAATTCGGATCGGCTGAAAAGTAGAATAGGTTAATGAGACTCATGTTTCGGTTAGGCGTGCTGTTTCGGATGCCTACATGAAGACATTCTGTACATGCTGTCGCACAACATGGCGGTCTTGTCGTCTTGTGGTCACCCTTGGTCTGTCAGTACGGGGGCGATCATTCGTGGTGTTGGTGGCCCGGAAACGTTGCTGCAGCCTGTAGATGGTCCGAACGTTGACCTGGAAGTGATTAGCAATGGCTTGTGCAGTGTGGCCAGCTTCAAGTCTTCCTAGCGCCTGGTTCCTCTGAGCTGTCGTGAGAAGGGGCATCCTGCTTACGTTGTAATGTGAATGTTTCAACCAGGTTTGGGGGTGCATTTTATAGGGCTGGTCCTTGTGAACAGCACGTGCAGCATGAGTTGCATGAAAAACATGGAGAACACCGTACAATCTCCGAGATCAGGTTGCGTTTTTGAGACCACTTCCTGGTTTCCATTCTGAGTTTGGGAAGGAATGTCTTTGCTCAGGTAGAGTTGGAGATGTTGTAAAAAATATACAATCAAAACATTAAATGAGTTTTACAGTTATCTGTTTCTTCGAAGGAAAATTCCAAACTGACGTTTCTTTTGCTGCTTAGTATATAATGCAAACGTAAGTCATTATAATATTCACGTACACAGAAAACATGATCTTCGGTCACAATGAGACCCTTACTGCAGTAATTACAAATGCTATTTTGCAAATCTACTTTTTTCTTTCGTAACATATATTAACTTTGAAATTATTTAATTAATGATTAATTATTAATTAATTAATCATTCAACCATGACCAAGGCTATTAAATACCTCCAGCTTACCATCAAATCAATCAAGACTCCAATCAGTGGTAATCTTTTAAGTTACCCTTTTGTTTGTACTGAAGGTTTCACCTTTTACTCCTTGGATCAACCGGATTGTGTACTTAACTGGCTTTTCCACTCTATTCCAACCGCACCCCAGGCCAAAAGTTCTAAACTGCCTTGTGTATTCACACCCCAGTCTAAGCATACTTCAACACTCTTCAAGAATTATGTATTTACTTTGCAGAGTTGCGCCCTTTGGATACGCTCGAAAAACCTGTTTCCGGGTTCGAATCCCGGTTCGCCAAGCTTAAGTTTTAAGGTTTGTCAGCAACATACACGGGTAGGTAGGTAGGTAGGTAGGTAAGGTTTTAGGGCGACCTTGGGCCTCAAAAGGCCTATATGCGCCCAACACTTAACAAACTGTTATATCTATGTTCAGTTAAATAATGTCATGCTTCCCCGTTTTAACGAGGAAGTCTAACACAGCTCTTTGTATGCAACCATACATTAAATTATCGCCAA